TAGAAGGAGTGAGACTCACAGGCGGCTGCCTTGTCCTTCCATCACACACACAGGCACAGGCTTCCCCGGGAGAAACCGGAGCCAGCGCAAGAAACAAGAAATGGGGCGCGAGAATCTTCCCGGCTTTTTATTCGCCCTGATCAGAATACAGTAAATATCCTTTTGACAAAAAAAGAGGATGGTCTAGCTAGTCCACGCTCCGTGCCTCTCCTTTCTTCCTTCTATTGTTGCAGGAAACCAGTTATTCCCAAACGATGTACACCTCCAAGCTCGGCCGGTGGGTGTTTGGAAGAGGGCAGCCCCTCTCTAAGGGCTGGGATGGCCGTGTGAGGACACACTACTGTCCACTGACAGAGAAACGCCGGCCTGTCCGGAGCGGGTGCTCACCTACGTGCAGGAGCGCAGCCCCCCGCAGCGCGCCCTCGCCCCCTCGCGCGGACCCTGGCGGACCCTGGCGAGAGGCTCTGCAGGGCGAGGGGCTGTTTTCGCACTTGGGCTTCGCGCTTCCTCGACACTTTCCGGTCTCTCGCCAGCCGCGCCAGGTCGCGGCGCCTGCCTGGGCGTCTTCCCTAACTCGAGTCACCTCGGGCTCCGCAGCAAAAGGAAGGGGGCCGGGCCCGGTGCGGCGTCCCAGCCACCTCGGGGCGGGGAGGGAGCGGCTGTGCGGAAACGGCCCAAGCTGGCGCTGAACGCCGGGTCTCTAGGGGCCACCAGATCCTTGGTGTGCGCGTCGTCTCGGCTACTGGCAGGCTCCAGCTGCTGGTGGCCCTTCCCAGGGAGCTGGGCTGGTGGAACCCTTGACTCTGGGTTGACCTCGTCCCTGTGTGGTCCCCTTTCCTTCCACCCGGCCCCGGACCCTTGCTCTGTGGCTCTGTCTCCCTGGGAGTTCTGGTCTCTGTCTGAGTCTCCTTCGCTGTCTCTTGACCCCTCCTAGCTGCCTTCTCTCCCAGGGCCTGTGCCTCGTTCTTTCTAGGTCTCTGGTCTCTGTTCCTCTTGGCTCTCTCTGTCTGTCCGTTACCTGCTTTCTTTTTTCCTTAACACTTTTCACCATTTAACACTATATGTTCGACTGATATACTGTCTTTCTCCTATAAAATGCAAGCTCTCGGGTACAGAATTTTTCTCTATTTGTTCCATGCCGAACACCCGCATCTCTAATGCTGCTGGCACAGAGTAGGTGCTCAGTAAACATAGAACAAGTGGGTCCCCATTTCTTTCCGGCTTTCTCAGGTCTGTTTCACTCACTGTTCTTCTCCAGTATTTTCTCTTCTCTCTGTCCCGGTCTCTGCTCTTTCCTCTGTTTCCCCCTTTTCTCTTCCTCCTCTTGTTTCTGTTCCCCACCCCCTCCGTTTTTCCTCTGTCCTGATGTCTGACTCAGTCCCTCGGTCCTTCCAGGATTTACGGGTCTGCGCCCTCCGCGCCGTGGAGACGGTGAACCTGGCCTCCCTGTCCGCCTCCCTCTCCGGTCGCCCCTGCCCGGCGCCTTAGCCTGGTTGCCCAGCCGAACTCGACTTCCAAAATCCCGGCGGCGCGGCTGGAAATCCCTTCTTCCTGCGGACCCCGGGGCCCAGGGACTCGGGGATTTCCTCAGGGGCAACGTAGATTTTGGCCGGCGATTTGTGGGGGGTGGCAGCAGGGCTGAGCTGGCACATGAACCCGCGCGGTAGGGACGTGTGCGACCCGGACTGAGCCACTCCCTCCGTGGAATCCTACTCTGAGAAATGGTGGCGCACCTGTGTGTAGGGCACTTTGAGGGGAGTGTTTCATTCTCCATCTCCAGACAACCTTGAGGGATGCTGTTGGCAACTTTTTTTGTAATTTCAGTCATTCAGCACTTACTGAGCACCTGCTGTACTCTGTGCCAGCAGGGTTGCTGTCCTCAAAGAGCTTCCCTCTGGGGTGTGAGTCGGGGGAGGTGGGGTTGGGGTGTGGGTTGTGGGCAGCAACCACAGATAAACGAGTTTTTAACTTCAGGGAACAAAAAAGGCCTGTGAATAAAGCAAGTGAACATTTTATGTCATCCAAGAACAATGTTAGCTGTGCTCTTGCTCTAGGTTCAGAGCTCTCAGCCCTGGGACTTCAAAAGTCCCCAGCTGGGGAAGAGGAAGGACCCACAAGTTAAAGAATTGGGGCCCACGTCACCGAGAGAGATCTCGGAGGTGGTGGCGTTGGTCCCCAAGAGAAAGGCCCTTTCCGACAGCTCAGAGAGCCTGCAGGCTGGAAACCGGACCAGCGCAGACGGGGCAGGGGTGTCGGTAGCTCCGGCTGCTGCTGCTTTCACGAGGTCCTTCGCCGAGTAGGGGGAGAGGAGCCAGGTTGGGAACAGGACGGGGGCATACAGGACGACGTCAGCTTGGCCACAGCGCGCCCCGCGCTCAGGGCTCGCTGACCCGCCGGGGGCCGCCCGGACTTGCGGCGCCAGGACCGGGGTTTCAGTCCCGGCCTCAGCTGCCCCGGACCTGGGAGCACCCTCCCCACTCAGAAAGGCTCTGGCATCCTTCCCGAACTCAGCGAAGACGCTCAGGCTCCTTTTCGTGTTTCTTTCCCTTCCCACGGGCTGTTCGATTATGAGACACGAACTGCTTTATTTTACATTGATTTTAATTTTCAAGTATCAGACATGTTGATTAAAGGAAAAAATTTAGAAATTTTTAAGAAGTAAAATGACGGTTTTAAAAAAATGTATTTCACGGTAGAAAGCCTTATTAAACAGAATGGAAAAAAGAGCCAAGGCTCGGGAATCTGGATCCAGACCTGCGGCCTCGGCACCGGCTCTGCCACCGCGGAGGAGAACTGTAGTTTCTGTGGGTGCCGTGGCCCGCTTGTAAGAGGAGGACCGTAGCGTCTTTTCCTCCCTCTAGCGTAGCAATGTTACTGTTTCCCAGGAAAAAAATGTATCTCAGAGTGTTCTGTAGCCCAGAAGTGACTGTAAAATACGAGGGGCGCGCCACACACTCCGGTCCACGGGCCGGAAGCTCCGGGAAGCATCTGCGGCCTGTGCGGAGGTGGCTTCGCTTTGAAACACCGAATAGTGTTTTTAAAAGCAGATGATCAAAAGCGCAGCTCCCTCGTCTCCTCGCGTCTCCTAGTGGAGACCAAAGAACCGGGGCTGCAGAGCTCGCTTCCCGGTGGAACGGGGCGAGGGTCCCATGTGCACCCCCAGTCCCCAAGAATCCCGGGTGTCGGAGGCACCGCGCTTGGGGAGGGAAGGAAGGTAAGCCCGCGTGGCCTCGCCGCCTACTTAGTTCTTTTCTCCATCAGCAGGGACCAGCCCTGCTCCGCACCTCGGTTCGTCGCGCTCCGCCCGCGGGGGCTCGTGCAGGGGGCCGTGCGGGTGAGGGCCGAGTGTCACCGAGGGAAGGAGAATCTTGCCCGCGGCCCCCAGGCCCCGCCGGGGAATTCGAAGACCTCGTGGGGACAGGACCCGGCATTCGTTCCTCGCGGGTCGCAGTGCGTATCTGTCCGGGAGCCCCTGCGCCCTGGTCCTCAGAAGCAGGTCTACGTCTCCGAGGACTTCGCTCCACGGGACAAGGCTTGACTTCCGCGGCCTGGTCTCTGGTTCTCTCTCTGCGACCTCGGGGGCCCCGGGTTTGTTCAGGCGTCGCTTCTTCCGGGTGCGGCAGCCACGGAAGCTGATCCCCGCTTGGGGCCGACTGGCCTCCGTCCGCGGGAACTCAAGATTGTGGCCCCCGAAGTCGCGCTGGGTTTTGAGCAAACTCGCGCGGGTGCCACCGGGGACCCTGGCTGGTCTCCCCGTAAATTCCAGCGTCCGCCGCTTATTTGTACTTTTTCGAGGGAGGTAGAGTTCAGATTCTCCTGTACACCCTGTTCAGCCTACACTTTCCTCTCTACTAGGGTACGGACAGGCTCGAGTCCCAGCAGCCTTGAAGGAAGAGGAGAACGCAAGTTTTAAGAGTACAGTACGTCTAAGTAATGCTTATTTGTCTAAAATCTCACAACGTGACGCTGGGTTATTAGATCCAGGCCCTTAGTAAAAAGAGGTCAGAGACGTTCTGTGTTAAATTCTCCCCACAGACTATGGGAAAGGAAAGCGGGAAGTGGACGTGAGCGAGGTCGGGCTCCCCTCCCCAGGCCAGTCCAGCGACATCCTCCTTAAAAATAGCCGAGAGTCCGGACCTCAGAGCACCCAGCCCCCCGCTCCCCTTTCCCAGCGGCCTCCTGAGCGAGGGAGAAGCCTGGGAACGTAGAAAGTCAGCGATAAACCTCCTCCAGCCGGCGGCCCGGCGAGGCCTTGAAATGCTCCCCGCTCCTGGCAACGCGCGGGGTTGCAGGGCTCCCGCCCAGCCCGAGGGAGGGAAGGAGGAGGGAAAACAAAACACCCCCAAGAGCAGGCTGCTTGCCACGCACCCCTTGCCCCAAAGTTGGGGGGTTGGGCCCAGAGATAAAAGCCAAAGGAAACAGACACAAATTTCCCTGACCCAGGCGCCTTCCAGCGGCAGGATATTCCCGGGCCACGGGGTCCCAGGTTTCAGCCCACTAGGAGAGCGCCAGAGGGGGGCATGGGATGGGACGCTGGCAAGGGTTAAGGGGCCTGGCAAGGAGCAGCGGTCTGGGGAATCCGGGGTTCGTTGTTAGCAAGCGCTTAGCAAGCAGCTGTTCCATCCAAGGGTCTCAAAGCAGCCACGTAAGGCAGAGTCTGTTATCGCCCCCGCCAGTGTACAGACGAGGAGATCGAAGTTCGAGGAGGAGGGGAAGGAGTCGGGGGAGAGGGAGGGACGGAGAAGGGTGGGGGAGGGGGGAAGGGGAGGAGGAGAAGGGAGGGGGGGCGGCGGTGCTGATGAAGCCCGCAGGGCCCGCACCTCGCGCTGCGGCGCATCCCGCACTCGGGGACGAAGCCCGCGTGACTGCGGCCTGGGTCCTTGGTCACGGGGAGGAATCTCAGATGGCTGCTCGGCCATACGCTGAGCCCCTGGCTTGTTGCTAACAAAATCCACTGCCTGGTCAGCAGGCTCAGCCCTTTCCCCCTCTGAAGGTCGCGCATGGGAGGCAGCTCGGGGACCCTGGGCATCGCCAGAGCCACGAATCCCCGCGGGTGAGAGGCCCGGGCAGCTTCCCGCTCTCGCCCAACCCAAGATTTTCAATTCTCGGGGAAGCTCTGGCAGGCCCCAGACGCAGGTCCCAGCTCTGTGCTTCTCTCCGTACCCTTCTCTCCGCTGCACCCGTACTTGCTCTGATCCGGTTGTGCCCGCAAGACGGCTTCTCCCCAGCGCCGGCCTCGGGGACCCCCCAGGACCCCTCCCTCTCAAGTTCCCAGGCCTTGGATCCGCGGCGCCAAACTCTTCAGAGGCTGGAGTTGGGGGAAGCAGGAGAAAGGCCCCTAAGCAGGCCGCCCCCCGTCTCTCGCGCGGAGGGGCGCACTCAAGCACAGCTGGGGTGGGGGTGTCTCTACGTCCGGCCGCGCGCAGGCCCTCCGCTGCTGGGCTCCCCAAGCGGCCTCAGTTTCCTCTCCTGTGCTCTGGTCCCTCTGGATCTCCGACCCTATCGTTCGGTAAAGAGAATTCCCCGCGCAGCCGCGCTCAGCTCTTCCTCCGGGATTTTCCTGAGAATCCCCAGGAGTTGGACGGGATCCCATGGGGAGTTTCCTTGCAATCAGCCCCGCGTCCTAGCCTCATCCTCGGTGCCCGGGTTGCCCGCGCGCGGGCCGGGAATCCACGACCGGCTTCCAGCTGCGGAAGCGGCTGTCGCCCCTAGCCTTCTTTCGGAGCAGCACAGGTTTCTTGCAGGGTGGTGTTTCGGCCCCCTCCCGAGATCCCTCCCATCTGGTATGGGAAACCTGTGCTCTTGGAGAGAAACACAGCCTTAAAAAAAAAAAAAAAAGTTTAACCGAAAGCGTGAGAGCCACCGGCCGGCTGTTATCTGGGGCTGAAGGCTGTGGTAATCGATGGGTTATTTTTACGCGGTAATAGGGCCCTGTGATTGCTCTATTAACCTTTAGACCTGTCGGAGGGACTCTCCCGCTCTCGCAGCCCTGCTGCGCTGGGGCCTCCAGGCACTGACGCCGCCGACTCCAAACTTAGGCCTGACACCCTCCCCGCCCCCACTTCAGGGAGGAGACCGCAGCCCCTGGTAGAACCGTCACCAAGGAGAAGCCCTTAGACTGCCGGACACTCCCAGCTCCCGCCTCGTCCCTCGGATTGGGGCAGCGGCCGCCGCAGTCTGCAGAGACAGAGGGAAAGATCAGAGGGGAAGAGGCCGCGGGAGGCGGGAAGCGTCGCAGGGAAGGGATGCACGTTTTGCACTAACACGTAAACGTGAGGCCTGGGGCCGGGGCCCTCGGCGCATTGCCGTCTGGAAAGGCAAAAGGGAGGCTTCGTTCTCCGCACTTTAATTTTAGGGACCAGTCCAGGATTTGGGGTCTTTTGAACTTCCCCAGAGTCCGAGGCTGGGAGGATCCCCTCTTCTCTTGCCCGGAAACCTGCGACCAACTGGGCACCCCGGGTGATCCATTGCTCCACACGAGGTCGGGAGGCAAGCCCGAGAGGTCACCTTTCCCTCCAGCCGGACAGTCCCTCAGACAGAGTCCCGCCCCCCGCCTACCGCAGCTGGACGAGGACCCCCGGTGGGGGTGGGGGGAGAGGGGACTCATTAATAAGGCTGGCCCTGGGCAAAACGGCAGAAGGAATCGACCTCGGGCTGGGCGGCGGCGGCGGCCCCGCGCCCTGGCGATAGCACAGTGGCGTTTTCCGCGAAGGTCCTGGGCCTGGACTTTGCCTGCTGGGGGAGCTTTGGAACAGCCCCGCAGCTCGGCGCCCGGCGGAGGTGCAGCCGGGCTGCGCGCCCCCGCCCCCGCCCCCGCACGTGACCGCGCGGGCCACTCAGCGCCCGCGAGCGGAGCGCAGGGCGAGGGGACGGCGCTGCGAGCTGGAGGACTCGGCGCGGCCAGCACAGTGGCCGCGAGAGGCTCCGCCGCCGCCGCAGCTCCGGGCGCCTCGGCAGGTAGGGCTTTTTTTTCCCCCCGCTCCCTCTTCCCCGCGGTCCCCGGAGCTCGGGGCTCCTCGTCGCTTGCTGGCCTGCCCGGGAGCGGAGAGGCAGCGGGTGGTGGGAAGGAGACGCTGGTCGCTCCCCACGCCTCCCGGTGGGCCAGAGGCTGCCCTGTTGTTTGTGACTTTGGCTTAGCAACGTCTTTAAATCGAAGTAAGATTTGGGAGCGAAGCGGAGAGGGATGTTCCAAGTGCGTTTGTATTCTTTTTGCGTGAACTCGGACGCTTCCAGTCCCGCTTCCGCGCGCAGAGCCTCCAGCCCCCCAGCCCCCGCTTGCACCTCGCAGGCCGGCGCGTGGGTGGGGATGGCGGCCACGTGAACCAGCCCGACCCACCGGCCAGGACAGGCCGCACCGCAGCTCGCGCACGGAGGGGTGAAGACGGGGGCGCCGCGCACGGGCCACTGTGGGGACGCCGAGTGGCGGTGGGGGGCAGCGCAGCGGGGACTTAGGGCCCTGGGAGGCGCCCCGTGGTCGGGGACGGCTGCCGAGCGGCCGGACCCTTCGTGTTCCTTCTGGCCAGCCTCCTCGCCTTCCTGATTGGGGTCCTCACGAGGCCGACGGCCCCACCCGCCCACATTGCTTCTGGGTGAACCTGGCCGAGGACCGGAACCGGGCGGGTGGCAGTGACGTCCCTCCGCCGACCACGGCTAGCCTCCCGGGTCCACGATATTATGTCGTTGGGCTTTGGGCTGGGGGCGGGGATCACCCCGGGGAGAAGGGGACGCCCGGGTGGTGGGCTGCGGGGAGGAGGGCCTCTCGGCTGGGGGAAGAGAGTGGAGACGGAGCGCGGCGGGTGCAAGTCCCGGGCAGTTCAGCCCGCGCCGCCGAGGTCTGGAAGGCCTAGGAAAGGAGGCAGCCAGGAGCGAGTTTCGGGCTCTTAGAGGAAGAAAGTTCCCACCGAAGGTGTCGGGGTGGTGCCCCCACACTTCTGCGTCTCCTCGTCGCCGCCGAGGCCGCTTCATTGCTGCCGCTGGCGTGAGTTCGCGTGACAGTATCCTGCGCAGCAGGCGGAGGGCGAGGGCGGGAGCCACCCGAGGATGGACGCGAACGCTCGGCGCTCTCAGGCCTCCCCTCTCAGAAGTAGATCGGGAAAGGGCCGGAGCTAAATCCTGAAAGGAGAAAGTATTTCCTGTCGGTCTGCGAATTTGGGGTGAACTGGGATGGTGATCCAAGGCGAGGGAGAGCTGGGCCAGACCTTTCCTGCCAGGCGCTCGGCCCCCTCTGCGGACGGCTGGACGGAGGCTCAATTGCAGAAACAAGCATGAGTCGTTTTAAGGGAATAATTTCTTGTCTTTTCAGAAAGGTATAGGGGGATAATTTCACCACCTTGCATTGTTCCAGTAATCCAGCTCCGAGGTAATGTGGTCAGCCATTTGAAAAGGCAGAGAACGTAATAAAGGCAAGTGTTAGCTTTGTCACATTTTTAGCGTTTTCATTTTAAAGCTTGCAAGTCAGCACCTGTAGGTATACTGGAAATTGGGTTACAAAATTCTAAATCTCTTCCTTTCCTGCAGTTATGTGATAAAAGAAAACTAACATTATCTTTTAGAACTGCAGGAGCGGTGTATTACAGAAAATACAATGAAATAGGTCAGCTACTTGGTTTAAAAATTAAATACTGGATATTGTATTTACTTATTGAAGCCCAGAGACTGCTAAGAGAGATTAATTTTTTGACTTTATTTATAAAGGGAAAAGTTGGTGACCTCAGGTCAAATTTTTTGTATTCATTCTTTAACCAAACTTGCTGAAAAGAAATGTTTACTAAACCAATATTTTATTGTGTATTTTGAAAAAAAAAAAAAACCATTTAGGAGTTACCATGTGACCACGTCCTACAATGCTATTAATTCCATTATTATTACTAGTGATGTTGCAAAAACGGTGAAAAGCATTATATAGTGTATATTAAAGATTCCATATCCAGAATTTTTACAGTAATAAAGATGATGGTTTATTATTGTACATATTACATCTGAGGTACTTTCTTAAGGTACATTAAAAACCTTTAATAATAATAATAATAATAGCCAACAGTTATATAGAACTTTCTTTGTGCCTGTTGTAACAGTTTAATAAGACTCTGTTATAAGTGTTTTACCTATATTAATTTCTAATCCTCATATGACTACTAGATAGGTACCTTTAATATTTGCATTTTGCAGATGAGGAAACTGAGGCACAGAGAGGCTAAGTAAAATTGTCTAAAGCTATGCATTCAGTAAGTGGCAGAGCTGGATTTATTATATAGTTCAGTTAATATCCTTGTAAGAATAGAATGCAATGAAAAAGAAACCACTGTTAGGAGTAGCTGCCTCTTAAGGAGAAAGTGGGGGTGTAGTGGACAGTCTCAAACCCTTGGAGCCCTACAGATCCTGTCCCTTCCCCCTCATGCCCTCTAGTGCACTTTGATCTTAGACAAGTTTCAAAACTTTCTGACACTTCAGTTCTCTCTTTTTTAAAACGGGGAGAGACACCTTTACTTAGTGGAGTTGTAGAGAAAAGGACCTGGAACATAGCAGGTTCCTCAAAAAGCGGAGCTCTTATTTTGCCGGAACAATTACCTAGTAATCTCAAAACACAGGATGCTAGAGAGCATATAAAAGTGTTCTTTCTCCAAGCAGTCTCATTGGTGTTCTGATTCCGCATATGGGGGGGCCCATGATTCTACAAGAATAACCTGTTCAATGAATTAGAATGGTCCAGGGAGTCTTTCTGTAAAGGGATCGTGTACCTTCCTCTCACTCTTCTGGTCCCGATATGCAGTCTGCACTTGTTTGCAGGAAACAAGTTGCTTGTCCGATCTGAGGTCCACGTGGTATGTGCACGGAGAAGGAGTTTTACAGTCCTTTTTACGAGACTTAGCAGACACTGCTGCTCACTTATAAACATTTAGACTCTACCTCTGGTTTAAAAAAATATATATTACAAACAAAACTTTCTAGGGTTGCTGGTTTTTATAAAGTTTCTCTTTGCCTCCCACAGGCAATCTAAAGTTCTTTCTTAGCCAGGAATACTTGGGGAGAGGCAGGGAACAGAGGAGATGAGGGAGATTTCTTGGGTCCCAGGAACTCGATGAAAAACCCTTGGATGTATAAAATATTGTGGCAGAAATGTGCTTGAAGAATACGGTATAATCAAAGCTCTTCCTGGCAAGCAATACAAAAATAATTGACCTAGACCACAACCAGTGCTGCACGCTCAGGAACCGGGAGGCCCCATGTCCCCAGGGCGCCCCTCCCCAGGTTGGCCTCGGGCAGCCTGACCCCACGGCCTGGGCAAAACAAAGGCCCAGCCGCCGCGTGCCGCAGTGGTACCTATCTCGTCTGCAGGGCGGGAGAAGCAAGCAAGCGCGGGGACGCGGGCTCTGAACGCTCCAGGATGAACCTCCCTGTCCCCTTTTGTCGTTCCTCTGCAGAACTGCGGCCGCAGCGAGGACGGAAGGAGCCCGCCTGCCCTGGGCGGCCCTGGAACGAGCCTACCGACCGTGCGTCGCGGCCGCGGGCCACCCGAAGGCCCGTGCCCTGCATCCGCGCCACGTGGGCGCTGCAGACCTCCTCCTTCACCACTGTCCGGAACCGCCGGAGTCTGTTCAGGATTTTCCTGCGCAAACAGGAGCTGAAGTCTTTTGCCCAGTGCTGGATTTAATACGCACATATTTTTGAGCGATTCGGCTTTTTCCCTTCGATTTTTGGTCTTCGTGTACGTGCCAGCCCCTCTCACGTACTTTGTTCCTGTCGTCTGAGTTGTCCCCGCGCGTCGCTCCTCGACCCTCGACGGAGAAGGACGACTCCACGCCCAGAGCGCGCGTTGCGATGTACCAGAGCCTGGCCATGGCCGCCAACCACGGCGCCCCGCCCGGGGCCTACGAGGCGGGCGGCCCGGGCGCCTTCATGCACGGCGCGGGCGCCGCGTCCC